CAATAAGTTTAACGAAAAAGAAGAGTATTGATACATACATATAATTTTCATAAGTTCACACATGGATTCGTATGTAGACTGGTTTTCACTCTATACACAGACATGTGTTGATAGCTCTGTTCTCTTCATATCCCTACTAGAAAAGGCTCAGGTTTCCCTGAGTCTACAGGTTCCAAACTATCCTCCACAAATTAATGTTGAACTCATTCCTGCTCACAATTTCTGAAGAAAAACCAAGAAACATTTGCAATTATACACTAGGTGTACAAATAAGCCCATAATCAGAAAGTCTCCTATTTCAACACCAATAATAAATATGAGCCATATTCTCACATCTTTAACTTCCTCATCTGTATTCAACTGTATTTATTGCATAGGAGTCCTACCAACAATTTTTACAAGGTTGGTCTTCCTAAAATATGTTTCAAAAATTATTCCATTTTGCATCAGGATTGTTTTGGGCCACAGTGCCAAATCAACTATAAATATGTGTGGTCATATATATCTATATCTCTATATCTATATATAAATGTGGGACACATTACACACAAATTGAATATGAAGATAGTCTTCGAAGGTGATTCCATGGAAGTGTTTTTGTTACACTACAGATACAGTCCACTCTTTCTTGGAACATTTTAGAATGTCAAAAGATACAAATCCTCTTGCCCTAAAAATATCACATTTTTAGCATACAATCATGCTATCTTCACAAATTGCAATTTACCCCATCAAAAGAATAAGTTTTGAATGTTATTTTGTGTATACACACATCAACTTGTTTAGATGAGGTAATCATTGAGATGGATGAGAAGCATTTATAGTAAAAAATATACTTCAGAATGTTGGCTGAAAAATCCCTTTGAAATTTTAACGACCGTTCTATATGGGAATACATAATTGGTGTAAGATTTGCATAAGAGGTCTAAAATCATTACAGTTTTAAGTATTTAATAGGCTCTGTAATTATATCAATATATGAAAGGAAGATGATATTCACAGGCAAACTTAAGGACAGAGAATAATGAAGTATGATTTGTTCTCTATTGGGAAACACATGTAGATTTTGATTTGAATATTGAAGTTTCTATATTCCAACCTTAACATATCTATGTGGATAATGACATGATGAATTCCAATAAGGTCATAAAAACCCGGTGGGGCTTCTGGATTCAAGGTAATAGGGATTGAATAGGTAGTAGAAATTAAAATGAATTCATATGATTGAGTGAGCATCAACAATATATTAATAAATGTAAGATATAGATGAAACAATGAGAAATGATTTGAACTCATGGTTTGTTCATAGAATGATTCCTGCAAAGAAATAGAAAAAAATATTATTATACTTTCTGTGAAAAACACTAGAATATATGTTTCTATATTCTGCATATGAACAAGGACTTTACTAGCACTTTGAGAGATATTCAAAAACTAATGAGAGTACATCATCAGTTATTTTCAAAAAAGTTCATACTTACTTCGACTTTCATTTTCCATTAAAATTTGATCATTGTATAAACACTTCACAAATTACACTTGGACACTCTCTGACTCAACACATTCAAACTTCATTGAACATTTGAAGTGTGACCCTACTCAATCTATTAATTCAGCGATTATTTTCCAATTCTTCAAAATTTACTCTAATGTCACCTATTCAGGCTCAGTCAGGCCTTGGCACCGTTTTTGAATTAGGTCCTTTGCAATATATCTATGATGTATCATGCATGCAGGAAAGTAGGAAGAAATACTTCACATGGTTTTACAGAAAAGAAAATCCAGAGTAGTTTTACTATATAATGTTATTGCAATGAACTTAAGCCAAAACTCCATTTCAATATTTGTGAATGGATGCATAAAAACAAACCACAAAGAGTGATTGTTTTATGAGATGAGAAGGATACTTGCTTTATAGTAGGCAAGTAAAATTGAAGGAATACCATGCAAATACCTTCAGGTACAATTACATGAAAAATTCCATGGCTCAAACAAATAAACGGCTTTTCCATTCTTACGTGTGGTCAAAGCAAATGCTATTGTGAAGTCACAAGTACATTGTGACATGGTATCAGCTAAATATATTCAGCAGTTTGGAAAAATAATTAACCTTTAAGACACATATGCATGTCACCTCTCAATATGAACACTGAAATATTGGACTTTGAAATGAACATAAAATTTCCATTAACTTAGGGTAACGTTCGTACATTAACACTGTTTTCTCAAATATGTATGGTTATGAGAAATATATGGAGACATACCAACATTTGGAAAATATCACTTGGATCAAACCCATGGTAAGAGGCTTGAATATCAATGAACAAATAAAGGATTCAATACTCATTGCCAAAGAAGACATATAAAAAATCCATGATAACCTGTGATTAATTTTTATCATGACTGTGTAAAATCAAGAATTGAAGGCACAAAAAATACCCTCACTTTTCAATTCCAAAAAAACATAGTAATGTGCCCAGCATCGACTTATGGGTATTGAAACAGAGTAGGAAAAAATTTCCACCATTTCATTTTGTACACACACAGACACAAAATTTGCATCTACAAATGGACAGGTAACAGAAATATCTGATCACAAAAATCAGCTCACATATATATGTGTGTGTGTGTATATATATATATATATATATAATGGCAATGCTAGGGTTGGATAAATCTAGAAGAGACAAATCAAAGTAACATGGTCTCCTATGCTGTCACAGATTCTCTCATGAGTTTAGAGGTTCTTTATTATTATCCACTCTCTAGATGCCAGAAAAATTATGATTCCATAAGAAAGACATATTAGCATAAGGGAACAGAATTAGTAAAGATTTTGGGTCACATTAATGTTCTAATAATCAATGAAGTAAGGAAATATCATTGCCCCATTAAATATTACTCTCTGAAATTCAGTAAATATATGTTATTATGAGTAGGGAGTGAATTAAATTAAATAACTGGCCTCTGGAAGGAAAAAAATTCAGATATTTTGGAAATACCAGTCAGTATGGGGCATTGTTGATGAATATTGCATTACATTCCTATCTTTGGTATTGTTCTTCTTGGTTATTGGCTTGAACGTTAGGCTTGGGCAAGGTCCCTGAGCTGCTCAGAGCTCTACTGCTCTATCACTTGAGCTACAGAGACACTTCCAGTTTTGAGGTGGTTAATTGGTGATGAGAATGTGACAAATATTCCTGAGATCTGATCCTCAGATCTTAGCCTCCTACAGATCCCTAAGCAACCTGTACCAGGCTTTTTTTCTCTGTTATCCAGAGTGTGTTTATGATTTTTGAGCTTTTCTGTTCCCAACCTTCATGCATACTACTTGTCTACGAGTAACCATGGTTTTCATTAAGGAGAATGCTCTCTACAGTGTTAAATTGTGAGGGGATTAATTGCCAGAAATGAATCTGAAAAATATCCTTCACTTCATTAATCTATAATTAGATCCTTATAGGTCAAACGTGTGAGATGATAGAATTAACATTATCACCTGGCCTGACTCAAGAATGGTTTTCTACCCCAAAAATTGTTTCTCATGACATATTCCTTTTCCTCTGCATGACAGAGGGTGAGAAACTCCCTAGCCCCAAGAATAAATGTATTCTGTTGATCAAATACTAAATTGATCTGTTAAGTTTGTAAACAAAGTGAGTTTTAGTCCTCGCTATAATCTTCATGAATTAGCAAATTATCATCAGATGCAAGGGTGAATTTATTTATTGCTATTACTCTTCCTCAGCAGTTTCTTCACAATATAAAGGGCCAATTCATCCTTTAAATAATATTGTAATAAGTTTGACATACAGCAGATATTTTAATACAAATTCTTAGTATGCTTACTACCTTTTCACTGGAATAATATATGAGGCCAGACCATGAGGAGAGGCTCACATACATTCACCTTGTTCTAATGTTGAATCAGCTTTTTTTGTCCTAGACTGATCAGAGAAGAAAATTCTTAACAATATCAATACATCTAGAATCTATTGTCTCACTATAAAAAAGAAGAGGTCTCATACTGGCAAACAATACAAATTACATGATTCCAAATTAAATAAATGCTCATGAAGAATTCCAAACAAAAACCAATTACTGTTCATTTTTTCCTGTATTTGCCATCTTACCATGTCAAAAAGACTTGATGTTTTCAAATCCATAAAATCAAAAATATAATCTATTTTGTGACTCTAGAAGGATAAGTTAATTCTAGCAATTAAAATTCTTTAAAAAAATCATAACTATTCACTAAGACATAGAATACCTTTTGTACTTACACATCTAATTTTGAATTTGCAATCTATACCATATCCAATGTGTATTTACACTTTAAACAGGAATGTGAAATTTGAAATCCATGTATGTATTGCTGCTTAAAAATAGCACTAACTACATTTTATTAATATGTACCTTTACAAAGTTCAAATTGTAAATCATCTCATGAATCTCTTCAAATGTTTTATACTAATTTGTGGAGAAATTTTAAATTAGATTGTCATTCCTATAATATTCATTAATCAGTTTAGGAAGGAAGACTTGGAAACCCAACCAGAAGTCTGTAGTGTATGAATTACCAGTTGAAGATACTGCCATTTACATTATCATAATTGATGTGATGAGTGAATCCTGAAATCATGAAAATGGTTATAAACAGATTGGCCCAACATAATAATGTTATCTATAGCTTCCCTGATTTAAATTTATTTTGAGAATGAGAAGAGCATTCAGTTAAGGTAATTCTGATTTGAAGTAATTTGGTTGATTGAATTTCTTATCGGTCTTAGTGAAACTATACTTGACTTTTGTCACCAATCACAGGTTCATCAGTTCAGACAGCAATCCAAAACTTCATTTCTAGTGAGCAAAATATATGAGTATATAGAATGAGAGCTTGTTATTCATTTATCCTATTTCTATACTTTGAATTTTAACAGAAAATAGGACATCATAAGAAAACCATTTTCTTTACCTGTTGCCAGATGATTTGATTGTGCCCCAAACAAAACTTGGGCTAGGGTCTTCCAAGGATTCTGCCAAAGGGAGAATGACATACTTGATTGAGTTGCAAGATTAGATTGGCTCTAACATTATACATTGATAAAGAAGAACAACAAGATTGATGGCCTTAACAGACTTCCAAGAAACTTTTAGCTGGATAATAAAGATTGAAAAGTATGTATTATTACCCATGTGCAAAACATATCATCTAAATATTTGACATGATTTTTAATCAGCTAAGACTGCATTTTTTTTTCTTTTTTTATTGGGAAAATACTGTACAGAGCGGTTACAATTACATGAGCAGGATAGTGAGTACATTTCTTATCAAGCATTGTATCCTCCTCCTTTGTTTACCCTTCCTATCCCTTCCCATCCTCCGTCCCCTCCCCACCCATATGTTATTGATATTAGCATACAAGACAATCCAAGTTGAACAAAGAATTTTTAATTTCACTCCTAAAGGAAGAAATCGTACAACAACGCAAGGTAAGTTGAGATTCAATAACGGAAAATGCAGAAAGTTCAACAAACTTTTTACCTTTATCCCAGTCTTCCTCAGAGGAAACATATTGCCATGTACTTTCAGAACTCTTGGATTGTTTCTCGCTTCATATGATGTTATCTACAAACCAAGAGAAAAACAACATCACAGTAAGATACAGGTCCAAATAGCCTACATTGATTAGGATTGTGTTTTAGTTATCAGGCTTACCTACATCATCTTCAAGGGAAGTTTTGTCCATACAAGTTGCAATATGTTCAGTGAGTTGATCTCGTGGAACCAGGTGACGAGCATTAAAGGGACAAGTAGCCAATTTGGCAGCAATTTCAGGATGATTCTGTATAACAAAAATTCAAATATGAGGAAACTTTTTCAAATTTTCTCTTTTTAGGTTACTTTGTGCAAGATATCTACCATGGGATTGACACCACGGTATAGATACTGTGCTAATACATTCATATATATATATATATATATATATATAAAAGATATTGTATAGAGGGATTACAGTTATATGAATAAGGTAATGAGTACATTTCTTACAGAGCATTGTTACTCCCTCCTGTGTTTTTCCCCTAAGATCTCTTCCCTCCGCATCTCTCACCTTCTCCCTTCTACCCTTCCCTTCCTGCAGCTGAAGTTGTAAAGTTCATTTTCAACATAGTGCCTTGTATATCTCATTCTTACAATGGGTCAACCTGTATCCCAAAGCAGTATAGAGGTACCTCAAAAGACTCCACATAGAGCTCCTCTATGACCCAACAATCCCACTTTCATGCATTTACCCAAATGATCACATACAAAACCATACTGAAAATAGCAACATTATTTGCCATAACTAAGATATGAAACAAAACCAGAAGCCCCTCAGTAGATGAATGGATTAAGAAAATGTGGTAAATATATACAAAATGGAATTCTATGTCTCCATTAGAAAGAATGATATTGGTCAATTTCTTGGAAATGGAAAGACTCAGAAATATTATATTAATTGATATAAACCCGGCCAAAACAAACATAGGCCCATTGTTTCCCTTATTTGGAATTATTAGTGTATATTTAGGACAAGCAGAAATGTTCAAAAGCAATGCACATAGGATCATAAAAAAATGAAATTTACAATTAAAGATGGGGATTAAGGCAGGGGTGGAGTGTAGTTCAGGAGGTAGAAATGAGGGGATGGTAGGGGAAAAATAAAGGAGGAGACAAAAATGCTCAATTCTTCGATCAGAAACAATGACATTGCCCCATTTGTTAGGAAATGGAAAGATTTGGAAAAAATAATATTAAGTGAAGTAAGCCAGGCCCAAAGAAACATAAGTTCCATGGTTTCCATTTTTCTAACAACTAGTATATGTCTTGAGACAAGCAGAAAAGTTCAGATAAGATGATGTTAAGATAAATGAACCCCAAGATAAGGACAGAAGTGTTTTTTTTTTTCTTGCTACTTTTTCTAATGTATCTATAAAGTACTGCATGATTTTTTATTGCTTTGAATGGCCCTCCCCCGCAGTATAACCCCTGTATGTCGGAAGACCTGAGGAAGGTGTCAGAAGAGAAGCTGGAGGAGATACAAGCTCTCACATACAAAGCAGTTTTAGTGTTCCAGTGAATATCCAAGGGTAGAGAATCACAGCAAGTGTGCCATTACATTACAGAGAGTTTGGTCAGAGAGGGGAAGTCCAGCCAGGAGACAGATCTGAGCACTTTCTGTTAGATGCACCTGCATTGGCTGTGGTGGAGGTGGTGGCTGTGACCACCATACCAACAGATTCTGAGATATTATTGACAGATGCTGTGGGCAGTGGTTTCTACTCACCACTAGTAAGAACTGAAAAGGAACAGAAATCTTCATCCTGAGGATCGCAGACCAGTGACTGCCCAGGAACCAAGAGACTGGCATGAGTACAACCATGACATACTCTCGTCTCACAGAGCACCTGTGAGAAGGCTGCCCCCGCAAGAGGGGTCTCCATCTTTGATACTGACAAAGGCCCTGCCAAGCAGCTAGCTCCAACTCAGGATTTCCAAGAATACAAAAACAGCCATTTAGCAGGTCCCAGGAACCTGACCTGACCTTCAAGGCTGTGCTCCACCCAGGTGAAAGTCACTGAGCCCAGACAGCTATAGCTCTGCCCCAGGAAGAGTGGTAAACAGAGCCAGAGCCTGCTCCTCCCCACAGCAGCTTAGACAAACAGTTGCAACTCAGTAAACAAACCATGAGAATGGCTCCAGGCTGGGCTCTGTGAGTTTTTCAGTAGCTTTTCCGTCTCAACCCTACCCAGAACCTAGCCTTATCACATCAACTCCAATCTAGAGGAAATAGTCATCTCCTTCTTTTGTGATACTCAAAGCAGATCTCTCAGTGAACTATCTTGGGGGAGGATCACAAAATCCTGGGTAATGCAGAGCATTTTTTACCTGCTCAAACAAACTGACTTAAACCAATCAAACAACAGGAAAAACAAACACCACAAGCAGACCCAAGACTACACCAAGACACTAGTTACGGAAATAGGGGAGATACAAGATCTTCCTCCACCCTCCCCCCCACCACACACACACAAACTCACTGAAGTCTTTTGTCTACCTTGTTTTCATTTTATTTTCTTTAAAAATATTTTCTATTATTTTTTTCTCTCATAATTTTTATTTTTGGTGTTTATGTGTTTGTATGCATTTTTTTTGTAATCACTTTTGACCTTTTGGTCCTTTTTTGTTTTATTTTTCTCCTTTTTTCTTTTGGATTTCTTCTTTTCTTTCTTTTTTACATGACAATTTCTGTTCTGCTTATCCCCAGATAAATACTCGATGAATATTAGACCTTATCCCCTATTGTGGTCATACTAAATGCAGAAATGATTTACTCAATTCACAACATCTTAGGCTTAAGTTTATAATAGTAATTCATATATTACTCTTTGTACCTATATTACTCTCAAGTATTCCAATTTTAAGAATTATTATTTTTTAGTTTTTCATGTTCCTTTTTATTTTTCCCCTCGTCTCGTACTACCATTTTCTTCTACCAATATTATTTCTTTATATTTACATATTTGAACTTGTTTTATTTCTTAATTTTAATTTGTTTTCCATTTTTCTTGTTTTTTTTTTATATCTCGTTCCTATCATTCTGTCCCATCCATTTCCCCTCTAAGTTTAGGACATCTTTAAATTCACTCTACTTTTACCTCTCCATATACCTCTAATCATTCTCCCTAAGACTAATTTCTGGTTTGTTGAATCCCTCATGGTTCTTTTTAGTTCTTTAATCCATAGTTGTTTGATGTTGAATAGATTGTATCTGTTGAACTAGATTGTATCTGCAGCCATTTTGACAGTGCAACTACAGGACTTTGGTTGATGCTTGCCGTAAAATAGTGCTCTAAAACAAAATTGTTGTTACTTTATTACAAAAAGGGCAGAAAAAGCCAGAAAAATACAAGAAAAATGGCAAGTCTGGGTATCTCAACTCCCACCCATGGTAATTAGTTGACAAAATAGTGAATGAATAATCCAGAAGAGAGATCGCAAAAAGCTCTACAAACACTACTGTTAACCGTGGTGAATGAAAAGACTGAAAACCTGCAATGGACTTGGTAAGATAAAGAGCAAGAATAGACAAATCTGAGATTAATACAGGAATCTCCAGAGTATTAGAAAGCCACTCAAAGTTTAACACAGGAATTGCATGAACAGGCTCAGAATAGTCAAACAATAATATAGGAATTTCATGAGCTGGCTGAGAACAGTCAAAGATAAAGGACTTGTGTGAACAGTTGAGAACACCAAAGAGAAAGACAGTGATTGTGTGATTAGGCTGAGGACACCCAAAGAGAATCACAGGAAGTGTGAGCTTGAGGAAGCCCATAGCGTAATACAGGAACTAGGTGAGCAGGATGAGAATACACAAAGATCAATAGAGGCATTCATGGAATCATAAACAGACAGCTGAAGGAATCTAGGGAGACCAAAAAGGGGATGCTGAATGGAGTCGGTCAGAAGGAAAGGGAATCCAAGGAAACCATAATAAATCAAATAAGTGATTTGAGAGTAAACACTGAACTCCAAACAAAGAAAGTAAAGAAGATCATACAAGATCAAAAGTTAAACAACAAAGAATTGGAAGCCATCAAAGTCAAACAATTCGATCAAAAGACAATAAAAACAGAGTAGAAAATCTGGACAGTAGATTAGACGAAGCAGAAAAACAAATCTCAGGAATTGAAGACAACCTAAATAACAGAGAGAAAAACATACAACTAGCCAGGAAAAATACAAGAAACATGATAGATCTATTCCACATTTGGAAGACACCATCAGAAGGTTTAATCTGAGGATAATGGATGTAGAGGAACACCTAGAGACACCTAGGAACACCTAGAGAAACACCTAGAGAAGTTAATAGTCTAAGAAATTTATTTAACAGTATCCTAGAAGATAACTTCCCTAACATGCAAAAAAGACAGGCCTATTTAGATACAGGAAGCTGTTAGAAGCCCAAATAGACCAGACCAGAAGAGGATATTGCCCAGTCACATTATAATCTGCACAGGACCAATTCAGACCCAGGAAAGGATCCTTGAAGTTATCAAGGAGAAAAGATCAATTACCTATAAAGACACACAATTAGAATAACCTCAGATTTCTCAGCAGAGACAATCAAAGCAAGAAGAGATTGGAATGATGTATGCCATTCCTTGAAATTAAACATCTATCAACCAAGAATACTGTACCCAGCTAAAATCTCCTTCATAACAGAAGGGCAAGTAAAAACCTTCCATAGAAAGACAAACTGAAACAATAGATCTCAACCAAACCAGCCCTACAAAAGGTACTTAATGTTGTCCTACTCATAGAAAACAAGCAAGACCAAAATGAACTCAAAAGAAACTGCACCCATACTGAGAATCAAAGAACTATAGGCAAAAGCCAATTGTCACAGCTCCCAAGAAGGTGGATAACATGGCAGGAACTACCAAACATCTTTCAGCCCTAACTCTCAATATCAATGGACGTAACTGTCCAATTAAGGGACATAGACTAAGAAGTTGGATTCAAAAGCAAGAATCTTGTATTTGCTGCCTTCAGGAGTCACAACTTGCTCATAAAAATAAACATAGTTTGAAAGTGAAAGGCTGGAATAAAATCTACCAACCAAAAGGCCCGCCAAAACAGACAGAAATTTCAATACTTACATCAGATAAAATAGACTTAAAATTAGTAAGAAGAGATGAAGAAGGTTGCTATGTACTAATTAAGAGATCTCTCCTTCAGGAGGAGAATATTACAATTCTAAATGTCACTTCACCAAACAACAGAGCAACCAAATTTATCCAAAAAACACTACTTTCCCTGTAGCTAGGATACCTAGCTACAGCAATAAAACAAGATGCAAATATAAAGGTGATACAAATAGGAGAAAATGAAATAAAACTCTACCTCTTTGCACAGGACATGATCTAATATTTAAAATATCCAATGGGCTACACTCCAAATTACTCAAGCTGATTCAAAACATTGGCAAAGTAGCAGGTTCTAAAATTAGTCTTCAAAAATCAATGACTTTTCTGTATGTCAACAATGAGAAGAAACCAGCTGAAATAAGGAAAGGAACTCCATTCGTAACAGCTCCACAAAAAAATAAAATACATAGGAATTAACCAAAGAAGTGAAAGAACTCTATGATGAAAACTTTAAAAATCTGAAAAAGAAAATCAATACAGAACTTAGAATGTGGATAAACCTCCCATGCTCCTTGATTGGAAAGATCAACATCGTGAAAATGGCAATACTTCCTAAAGCTATCTACAAACTCAATGTGATAGCAATCAATATTCCAACCTCATTCTTCAAGGAATTAGGAGAAACAATCCAAAAATTTATATGGAACAATAAAAGACCCGAATAGCAAAAATAATTCTTAACAGAGAGAACAATGCTGGAGAGATATCAATACCAAATTTGAAACTCTACTACAAAGCCATAGTAATCAAAATAGCTTGATAATGGCATAAGAAGAGACCTCAGGACCAATGGAATAGAATTGAAAACCCAAAAATCAACCCACATGCCTATAGCCACATAAACTTTGATAAGGGACATAAAAATAATACAATGGAAGATTATCGACTTTTCAGTAAATGGTTCTTGCAAAATTGGTTAATCACCTGTAGAAAACTAAAGCTAGATCCGTATATATCACTCTGCACCAGAATCAACTCCAAATAAAGACCTTGTAGTAAAAGCAGACACCCTTAGAACATTATAGGATGTAAAGGAGAAACCTTAGGTCTCCTGGCACAGGCTGAATTTTTCTTAATAGAGAAATCATCTTATCAATGTGTTAGAAACAGTTGCATGAAAGAACAAAAACATTTGAATACATATCTTAGGGTTCATTTCCCTAACATCAATTTATCTGACCTTTTCTGTTTGACTTTGACATATACTAGACATTGCACATAAGGGAAAACATGGGACCTATGTTTCTTTGGGACCTGACTTACTTCAGTTAATATAATTTTTTCCAAGCCTTTCCATTTTCTAACAAATGGGGCAATGTCAGGTGGATCCATTGCAACAATCAGATGTACAAGTTGTTATGTCAAAATGAACTTTACAACTTTTGTGCAGGCGAGGAGGTTGCGGAGCAGAAATGGGTGGGTGGACAGGGGGAGGATGGGAAGGGATGGGAAAGGGAAACAAAAGAAGAGGCTACAATGCTTGATAAGAAATGTACTTTATCTTTACGAATCTTTCCCTCTGTACAGTATCTTCACAATGAAAAAAAAAAGAAATACAACAAATCAAAGAAAGTTTGGAAATATGCGATTGCATGAAGCTGCAGTGCTTCTGGAAGGCAAAGGACATACCTAGTAAGATCAATAAAAAGCCCAAGCATTGGGAAAAGATCTTCATTAGCCATACTATGGATAAGGGTTTCATATATGAAATATACTTAAACTGTAAAAATTAAGTCCCCCAACAACAAATCCTCAAAGAAACAACTGCCCAATTAAAAAGTGGGCTAAAGACTTAAAGAAAAACTTCCCTGAAGGGGAAATAATAATGGCAAATAGACACAAGAAGATATGCTCAATCTTTCTAACTATAAAGGAAATGGAAACCAAAACAACATTGAGATTCCCCCTTACCCCAGTTACAATGGTTATAATCAAGAATTCTAATAACAACAGATGCTTTAGGGGATGTGGCCAGAAGGGAATCCTACTGCATTGTTGGTGCGAGTGTAAACTTGTTCAACCATTTAGGAAACTAGTATGGAATTTCCTGAAAAGACCACATAGAGCTCCCCCTATGACCCAGCAATCCCACTTTTGGGCATTTACAATTTAGGCAGGGGTGGGGATAGGGGTAAGGGGTTGTACTTGAAGAGTTGGGAGGGACAAGAATATAAGGGAAAAACAAAGGAGGAGGCAACAATTTTGGATAAGAAATGAAGTGATAAATGGTAAGGTCTCTGTACAATATTTGCCCAATAAAAATTATTTAAAAATTCGCTATGTCAAAAATGAACTTTATAATCTAAGCAGGGCAGATGGGAGTATAGTTCTAGAGACAGAGGAAGTGATGGCAGGGGAAAGTCAAAGGAGGAGGCAACAATGCTTGATAAGAAAAGTACTCATTATCTTCCTCTGTACAGTATTTTCACAATAAAAAAACACTTTTTAAAGATGCTAAATGAAATAAACAAGATAGTGATACAACTGTTTTTTTTCTTCTTTCTTGCTATAGGTTTTAACATATTCGTAGTGAAATATATGATTTTTTTTTCCTTTGATGTATTCCTCCCCTATGGTATAACCTCTGTTATCACTGTATTTGATTCTAGTGCACTGCATCGTGTATATACATTTATATAATTTGAAAAGGGAAGGGAAAAAATTAGTGCATCCTTTTGCAAAGGGTTAGACTTCTACAATTTTCTCCATAACAATTCTTCTATTGTCATTTGATAGTGGAGATAAGAAAATTTATGACTATTTTGAATGGTATGGCATTTGAATGGTATATCATTAAGAAATGATATACAGTGATCTCTAACTCCTGGGTTGATATTGTTTCTTTAATGAGGAAACAGTGCCAGGATACATAAATTGTGTATGGAACTTTAGAAAACATATGTGCTCAATATTGGCCTATGTTTACTCAAATATGGGTTATTTATACACAATTTACAAATGCATAGGGTGATTGAAAATATATTTGAAAATATCCAAAATGGAGGGTCATCACATGTGTCTTTTTTACAAAGAAAATAGCAGAAAATATGCTTCTCCTTCAGCTCTGGAACTTATTTTAGCAGTATTATATGACGAACAAAAGAAATTTTCTACCCACGGTTCAGTGAACCTTAAATATTGTGAAAATTTTGATGAAAATAAGAGCTATTTTGAAATAAATACCTTCAATATAGAAAAGAAACACAATGCATCTTCCATGTTTTGTTTATAACCATGGTATGAAAAGTAAAGTACCCAAACCGAATTCTAGGCCATATGATAATGCAGTGGGTGTTTTAGCAAAATAAATCAATGTTTAAATTATTTTGCTAAAACACGTACATTTTGACCATCAGGGCAATTGGGAGGAAAAGGAAACCACCTCTAATGCTTGTGAAATATGGAACATACAGTTTGACATAATTACCCACACAAAACATATCGCCTTTGGTCTGCTTTGAATAGGGATCTAGAAATACGTCTCTAGAAAAAAACAAGTTGGACTACGATTGTCACTCTTTCCATTACATGCTGCAGAGATTTCCAAAGAAATACAAAAATCTCACGATGTCATATATGCCTAGAGTCTCTCTCACATTTTCACATACATTTCCCACAATTTATTATTAAAAATACTGAAATTTATCCATGAAATAAATTATTTAAAATCAACATGTTCCAGTGAAACATTACCTCTTTGCACTTCACAAGATGGTGTGGGAACCTGCATGATCTGATTTTGTGATTTTTTTCATAGGGACACTGCAATAACCTCTCAGGATCCACAGATTCCTCTGAAAGAGAAGAAATACCTCGGGAAAATCAATATATTGGAGAACATGCAAGTCTTCAATGTGGTTTCCATTATTAACTATACCTTAACTCAGGAATCCCTATTTGGGGAATACAGATTCAAAATATGACAGAGTATTACTCTGGAATTTAACTTCTGATGTACTCTCAGTTCTTATTAGGTAAGGCAAAGCACCTACCACTAAGCCACCTTCCCAACCCTCCATAATTTACATTCTTTTTCACTTTTCAATCTAGCACATCAAAAGTCAAAGTTATAATTATCAAAATGTCTAAAGTTTCAGATTCATATCATGACGAATCCTACTATCCTATTCTCTCAGTTCCTGTCAATATACTTTCTGTGATTTCAAACAAGAAAAAAAATATCATGAACTAGACCATTTAAAATAATTTCCAAAACAAATGTTTAAACATGTTTACCTTTTTCCATTGTGACAGACAAACTTAAGCAAGTCCTGCAGATAAAAAAAAACAATTCTCTGAGAGAAAACAAGACTAAATACTCCAAAACCACATGTCTTAAATGTTGTGATTTTTGTCGGTGATATGAAAAACAACTAGGTAGAACCTATCCATCTCTAATACTTTTTGTTGCTAGACACACTTTTATTGAAGCATATTGATAACTGTCTTCTTCACAAATTATGGTCACTTATAATAAGCTATAGAAATATATAACCTTTGAACTCAAAATTAATTTCATATTTTTCATACATTTTTCTTCAACATACAAAAACAGAGGATAATGCATCATGACAACTTTTAAGCGAATGGGGAAAAGGTTTTCTAAATTATTGATGCTTGAATTAACAAATTACAAATTCCATTTTACAACCATCCAATATCTATTGAAAATAGGCACTTGTCTGAAGGAGGATTTGCCCTTCTCATAGATATATTGTGATTCCTATTCAGATTATAAGAACAATATGGAGTATTATTCAGGTAACTGTTCTTAGATAATATATTTATAACAAAGCAAAGGAATAATTGAGACTCGTTAGTGTCAAAGTTTGAGATGGGTGCTGTCCTAGTAAGTTTCAGTAGTACAGTGTCTAGTGGCCATGAAGCAGAGCCAGAAGACATTACACTATGACTCTCATAAAAGTGACGGTAATAAAAGTAAATTTCAAATTCCCCAAAATGGAAATATGTGTTTTCTTAAGTCTAAGGAAGTAAAGAATTTTCATTATTTTACCAATGAAACAATACTGTCTAGTTGGAGAAAACTATAAGAACTACATTTGGGATGGCAGCGAGAAATGTCCCAGTCACATACAAAAAGATGATTTACATGTCTAAGTCAGAAAAAATCGGAAAAAAGTTCTAGGGACTGTTACCTGTCTCCTTCAGCTAATTGGATTCACCAAACAATCAGGATGTCTTCCTCCCCACGTCAGACGATGTCCCAGTAATAGGTTTTCCACAGCAACAGCTACTTCTCAATAATGACTTCTCTACATGGGGCCACCGCTATTGTGATGTAGTTCATGAATCTCACTTCCTTTTTACCAACTGATGGAACGCAGCCATACTTCTGCATATGACAACGAAAGTGCTGATTTCCGGCCTGAACCCAGAAGACAATGTCCCATTTCTTTTTCATATGAATTGGTGGACTCCAGTATAATAGAAATGTGTGAGTATTCAGTAGAGCAATAATGTGAACTGATGTGTCATAATTTTTATCTACAAACCAACTACTGGTTCTGTGTAAATTGTCCTGCCCACACATCTGTAAACTTACTTTGGTTTATATAGCCACAATAAGTCATTCTTTATGTATTATTCTTTCCTTGTTTAGTTTCTTTACAAATCAATATTTTTATTAGGAGACAGTTTCACAAAATGACCCTTATAGAAATTAATCACCTTCTGCCAAAAACGTTCCTTAGCCTTCCTTGTAGATAACATTGGTCTTTGTACGTATTTTTTAACTCACATTTTTGATTAAAATTAATGTAACATTAATGTTCTCTACGATTTCTCAAGACAAATAGTCACAAATATTAAATGAAAACAGCAAGAGAGAAACAAGTTCCCAGATGAATTCCTTAATTTATATATCATATATTTTACTTATACAAATATTAATGTTACTAAATACTATACAATAAAAATATCAAAGCTATACAAAAATACTTGTGAATGTATGGCTTTAGGAATGCCTTTGCATTATTTAACCACCAATAACATAAACTACATTCAAATTTCCTGCACTATAACGTTCAATTACATTATTTGCAATTCAACAATGTATTGATGGGATTACGCTGGACTAAATAATTCTGTTAGATTTTAATAAAATAGGAAGTTATTATGCCAGGTTTTGGAAAGGTGGATTGAAGCATTTCTGATATATAAAAGGTGGTACATCATATATGTCACATATTATGTACATTTCGTATCATCATTTTTCATAAACACCAAGTCATATTATTTAAAAATATGCCAAAGATTTTTTGTTATACCCTAAGGAAACTTTGAGAATTATGTATTCGTACTGGCAAGGATCTTCATTAACAAGTAGACAATTGGTGCTAGGGGCTCACAACTGTAATCCTATATTTGGATTGCAGTCCAAAATTCAGTAAGACCCAAGTGATTCAACTCCAATAGCTTAGAAAACCCGAGAGTGCACTATCATAAAACTGGTATGTATATGAACAAACTACTGTAAATTAAAATATTTGATGATATAATAATGAGGACAGGATGTTTTTGGTCTATATATTTGTCTGTTTCGAATAGCTGTTTTATGAATTCTGAGAAACTGAAACATTTCAGTATTTCTATCGGTAGAAAAATATAATATGGTTAAAGATAATTGAAACAAAGACAGGCACTGTGGCTCATGCCTTTAATCCTAGCTATTCAGGAGGCTGAGATCTGAGGATCACAGTTCAAGGCAAACCTGGGCAAGAAAATCCATGAGACTCATCTCCAACAAAGCATTAGAAAACCGGAAGTGGTGCTGTGGCTCAAGTGGTAGAGTGCTTGCCTTGAGCTGAGGAGCTCAAGGACAGTGCCCAAGCAAATACTTCATGCCCCATGACTGACCAAAAAAAAAAAAAGATAATTGAAACAAGCCAACATGGGAGAGAAGAAATAAAAGACCATGATTTGTCATTAAATGGAGGATCTGGAAACATCTCTAATTAAAATAAAAAAAAACATGGACACCTTGATACAGATAAAAGAAAGGAAGGTGTGGCAGTGCTTGATATCTCAGGAAGTTAATCAAAAACACCAAAGCAAAGCAGGAAACCTCTCTGAAGTAGATACAAATTATTCCTATCAGAAGGCGCCTCAAAAGTAATGATGAAGTTTTGTAAGATCTACCATTTGTATGTTCATCATGCTTAGGATATGACAAACAATGTTCATGTAAGAATCAGTATCTTAGTACTCTAAGGAAATCGTGTGCTTCTGTCAATTGAATCAAATTCTAAAACATTATCCCACTTCTTCCTATGCATGAATGAACTCCAATATATTTCAATTGTATTAAATTTCAGTAAATTTGATTTCTATACAGAATTCTTCCTGGCATTGACCAGCACACACCATGATGCTCATTGGCATACTTTCTGTTAAGCCAGCAGGGTTTTCTCTGTCTTCCATATGTTCCAGTATGCTACTATGCACAAGACACTTTTACTGAAAACATGTTCAAGTACAAGTAACAAAAATAAATTTAGAGACAAGGTCTGAAGGAATTAAGCACATCGTACAGATGGAGCAGACTTTGACTGGTTTTGTTCATAGAATTTGCCTAATGATAATGACAATTAAAAATGGTACACATTCCATGCATTTCTACAATATAACTAGATTATTATAGTATGGCTATTGAAGAAATGGGAAAAAGTCACTGAATTTTTTTTCTAGTGATTGACATTCAAGCATTTATGAACATTTTCAATGTGAATTAAAACATTTGAACCAAAAGTGCACACAGCCTTAGCAACAGGGAAAATGAATTAATGAACCATTTCCTTTGTGGCAATACTAGACTCAGAATTACAGGGAGCTATGTGATACATTGTCCCAAACTCGATTCTCAACAATCACAATTTTCTGAGGAAAACATCCATGAACTGATTTATGTTAGAGAAATTATGTTCCCTCTAAAATGGAGACATGCAAATAATTCTCAATGAGTATACTGACATTCAGTTTCTTGTAAGGTACTTTTGTGCCTGGACAATAGTAGTGCACATAGTCACAAAATATAGTCATTGATAATTCCTCTACTTGTGATACATAGGCTCCCATTTTCCTGCCATGAACCCTTTTGGAAAATGGAGAAATTTACAAGCAAGGATTTGTTTCCTTATTTACATTTATTACTGTCTGAAAGGGCAGAAATAATATCTTCTATTGTCAGAAATTTCCACTATAATATGCCATGTGACAGTTTGCTCGTTCTTGCATTGATTCCTTGAGACTTTTACACTCTCTACTCAATTCAATATGAATTGAAAATGCTGAGATTCACACTTAAATTCTCTTTACCAGTATTTCATGTAAATATTCGTGTTGAATCAATCACAAGAATTGTATTTACATTCAAATGTTTCTGCACAGATTGCACATAATGTTTTACATCATTCATTACCAAAATCACTGCTATCTAAATATACACATCTTCAGATACAATTTGGTTTCAAAACCACCATACCTAGTGACCTCCTTCTGAATTCACGTATCTAACCAACATCCTAACTACATAGTTCCAACTTTTTCCAAAGATTACTTGTCATAATATGGGCTTGAACCACGAGCCCAAATTACAACAGGAATGTTTCTAGTGCATTATTCATTCATGTGCAATACTTTCTGAAAATAAATTGAGTTCTCAGAAAGGAAGATAAATAATACCGGCTTGTATGAACAACGAAATACCTTCTGGAAAAAACAAATATTGATGATTGCACTATGAATATTTGTATTGTGTGTTTTTGGCACATGAGTATTTGCAAAATGTAAAGTTATTAGATGGCTTAGCCTCAATCCCAATATAGAAGATTGTAGATTGTAGTAGAAGATTGTAATTTATCTTTGACTCAAGTAAGAAAATTTATCACATCAATTATTCTAAAATTCTCATGAAATCCAGGAGCCAGTGGCTCACAACTGTAATCCTAGCTTTTCTACTGAATGAGATCAGAGGATTGCAGTTCAAAGGCATCCAATGCAGGAAAACACATGTGACTCAATTCCAATTACCTCTAGAAAACCCAAAGTTGCATTGTGCCTCAAGTAGTGAAGGGATCTCCTTCAGTGAGTGCAGGGATAGAATTCAAGATCCAAAACCAACAAAAAAATTTTCTCAGGAAGAAGCATTTTTGAAATTGCATTCTTGCAAAATAATATCATAGCCATATTCCTGTTGCATTCTGAAAGACATAGAATGACAGCTTTCCT